GATTGGCCAACATTTGTAGATCCTCAGAAAGAGGAGCGAGCAGTGGAGGCAGGGAGGGTCTGTGAAGGAGGAGGAGGCAAGAGAAGAAGGTGTTGTCAGGAGGGAAGCATACGTTGTGTAGGGGAGTATCCTCCAAGAGATGGGGGTGAGGGTGATCCCTGACCCCGGGAACATGGAGGTCTTAGGTGACCTTTTCCATTTCAGTAGAACACTGAGAGCAGAAGCACAGGCAGAGTGGGTCAAAGCCAACCAGCCTGTTGACACGAGGCTTCAACTTTCAAGAACTATTGTGAATGTGTGTGTTCGTGCTCAGTTGCTTTAGTCATGTCTAACTCTTTGTGACCCCATGGACCACAGCCCACCAGGCTCCTCTGTCCATGGGATTTTCCAGGCAAGAATACTGGAGTGGGTTGCCATTTTCTTCCTCCAGGGGATGTTCCCAACCCAGAGATTGAACTCACATCTCCTGCATTGCAAGCAGATTCTTTACGGCTGAGTCATCAAGGAAGTGTGAATGGGAGCCAGGAAATGGCCATGACTAGAGGTGGGAGATGCAGAGTACATCATGAGAAACGCTGGGCTGGAAGAAGCACAAGCTGGAATCAAGATTGCCAGGAGAAATATCAATAACCTCAGATATGCAGATGACACCACCCTTATGGCAGAAAGTGAAGAGGAACTAAAGAGCCTCTTGATGAAGTGAAAGAGGAGAGTGAGAAATTTGGCTTAAAGCTCAACATTCAGAAAACTAAGATCATGGCATCTGGTCCCATCACTTCATGGGAAATAGATGGAGAAACAGTGGAAAGTGTCAGACTTTATTTTTTTGGGCTCCAAAATCACTACAGATGGTGATTGCAGCCATGAAATTAAAAGACGCTTACTCCTTGGAAGGAAAGTTATGACCAACCTAGATAGCATATTAAAAAGCAGAGACATTACTTTGCCAACAAAGGTCTGTCTAGTCAAGGCTATGTTTTTTCCAGTGGTCATGTATGGATGTGAGAGTTGGACTGTGAAGAAAGCCGAAAGAGTGCTGAAAAATTGATGCTTTTGAGCTGTGGTGTTGGAGAAGACACTTGAGAGTCCCTTGGACTGCAAGGAGATCCAACCAGTCCATCCTAAAGGAGATCAGTCCTGGGTGTTCATTAGAAGGACTGATGCTGAAGCTGAAACTGTAATACTTTGGCCACCTCATGAGAAGAGTTGATTCATTGGAAAGGACCCTGATGCTGGGAGGGATTGGGGGCAGGAGGAGAAGGGGACAACAGAGGATGAGATGGTTGGATGGCATCAGCGACTCGACGGACATGAGTTTGAGTAAACTCCGGGAGTTGGTGATGGACAGGGAGGCCTGGCGTGCTGCAATTCATGGGGTCGCAAAGAGTCGGACACGACTGAGCGACTGGACTGAACTGAACTGAGAGGTGGGAGATATGTGTGGCCAGCAGAGGGCTTGTAGTTAGTTGGTTACAAGGGACATACAGGACTGTGTTCATGCGTGGAAGGAAGTGAAATTGCAGGAGAGAAGGAGAATTGCTGATCTTTGTGAAGCACACCTCACCTTCCAGGCTTCCAACAGTATGTAATGCCTGCATGTGTGGGCTGCTCTTGTTCCTAGAGCCAGGAGTCCCCCATTTTGATCCAGCTGCGAGGGGAGGCCCCATTGTGATGGCAGTGCCCTAGTCACATCCTCCCCCACCTGCCCTGGGTCTACTGTTCCAATTGAGTGCATTTTAGGGAGTTGGTTGTTGTTATCTTTTCAGAGAACTTAGCCCCTTGACAGTCTGCAGAAGGAATCCAGGCACACCTGGCATTCTTTGTCTTGGTCAGACCTATTAAATATTTGGGGCCAGGATGGGCGTCTCCTGGAGGGGAAGCAGGCTCTCTAGCTTCCTCATCCCATAGTCCGCCCCTACCAGCGGGACAGATTGCTCTTGATTTTTTAAAATTTAAGTTTACATTTTTTCTATTTGGCCGCACCAGATGTTTAGTTGTGGCATGGGTTTTCTAGTTCCCTGACCAAGGATCAAACCCAGGACCCTGCATTGGAAACACAGAATCTTATCCAGTGGACCACCAGGTTGCTCCCAGATTGCTCCTGATTATCTCAGGTGCAAAGGTCCATATAGTCAAAACCATATTTTTGCCAATAGTCATATATGGATGTGAGAGTTGGACCGTAAAGAAGGCTGAGTGCTGAAGAATTGATGCTTTTGAACTGTGGTTCTAGAGAAAACTCTTGAAAGTCCCTTGGACAGCAAGGAGATCAAACCAGTCAATCATAAGGGAAATCAACCCTGAATATTCATTGGAAGGACTGAGGCTGAAGCTGAAGCTCCATACTTCGGCCACCTGATGAGAAAAGCCAATTCATAGGAAAAAACCTTGATGCTGGGAAAGATTGAGGGCAGGAGGAGAAGGGGCAACAGAGGATGAGATGGCTGGATGGCATCACTGCCTCACTGGACATGAGTTTGAGCAAACTCCAGGAGATGGTGAAGGACAGGGAAGCCTGGCGTGCTGCAGTCCATGGGGTCACAAAGAGTCAGATACGACTTAGCAACTGAACAACAACAATCAGACCTGCCTTGGTCCCTCCAATCACTCACCCTCCAAGCAGCTTAACAGAATTTCTCCAGAACAAATGGAATCATCTTACTGAGGGGAATTTCAATGAATAAAATTTTCTCTACTTTAAGCCTATCCGGTTGTTTGAAGAAAGAAGAGAGAATTGACTTATTATGACTCCAGGGAATGAACCAAGACCAGAAATGAAAGTTCAAGAGAAGGACAAATGAAGAAATGTTTTAACACTCACAGTTGTCTAGCATGGGACAGGACGCCCTGTCAAGGGTGAGCTCCCTGACACCCGAAGGAAGCAAGCAGAGGGAAGATGGCTGTCCCTCCAGGATGATGTACCTGTGTCCGCCCTGGAAAGGACCCCAGCCTGGAGCAGCTCTGCATCTGCAACACGTAGTCATCCGAGGTGGGGCCTTTCACATTAGTTTTCTAATATGATTACATTACATTGCTGTTAATACTAATTACTGTGGGCTTTCAAGGTGGCCTAGTGGTGAAGAATCCACCTGCCAATGCAGGAGACTCAGGTTCAATCCCTGGGTTGGGAAGATCCCCTGGAGAAGGAAATGGCAACCCACTCCAGTGTTCTTGTCTGGGAAATCCCGTGCACAGAGGAGCCTGGCGGGCTACAGTCCACAGGGCCACAAAAAGTCAGGTATGACACCAAGGAAACCAGACCTGAAAGAGACACGTGCACCCCAATGTTCATCGCAGCACTGTTTATAATAGCCAGGACATGGAGGCAACCTAGATGCCCATCAGCAGACGAATGGATGAGGAAGCTGTGGTACATATACACCATGGAATATTACTCAGCCATTAAAAAGAATTCATTTGAATCAGTTCTAAGGAGATGGATGAAACTGGAGCCCGTTATACAGAGTGAAGTAAGCCAGAAAGATAAAGACCATTACAGTATACTAACACATATATATGGAATTTAGAAAGATGGTAACGATAACCCTATATGCAAAATAGAAAAAGAGACACAGATATATAGAACAGACTTTTGGACTCTGTGGGAGAAGGCAAGGGTGGGATGTTTCGAGAGAACAGCATTGAAACATGTATATTATCTAGGGTGAAACAGATCACCCGCCCAGGTTGGATGCATGAGACAAGTGCTCGGGCCTGGTGCACTGGGAAGAACCAGAGGGATCGGGTGGAGAGGGAGGTAGGAGGGGGGATCGGGATGGGGAATACATGTATATCCATGGCTGATTCATGTCAATGTATGACAAGACCCACTACAATGTTGTGGAGTGATTAGCCTCCAACTAATAAAAAAATAAATAAAATAAAAAAAAATAAAAATAAAAAAAGTCAGGTATGACTGAGTGACTGAGCATAATACTAATTATTACCGAGAAATAATCATCTAGAAAATAACCCCAGTGGACTTTTATGCAGAATGTAGTTTTCCAGAGCATTTTGGAAGTTTTTTACTACCCGGAGACGGAAGCCAGGTGGAACCAGCCAATCGGAAGATGGTCCTTTGCAGTCCTCTCTAGAGATGCATGTGATGGCGGGAGAGATGCAGACCTGCCCCTCCCCCCACCCCAGCCCTGAATCTTCTGGTCAGTTTTGTTTAACTCTCATGTGGAGACAGATACTAATTTATTCCTTGGTAGATGAAAATAATCTCCAGTAAAGATGCTTTTCAGGACCTAGTAGCAGAAATAATGCAAGTGTGTTTGGGATAACAGCACAGGTGTTCAGGCAGTGGTTGACATTTGCTTTATCCACGTGGTCCAGGTTTCTTCCTGACTCCTCCATAGGGAAATTATCCTCATTAACATGGAGATAAAAGAGAGATGTGTTTGTAATGCCCAGAAGGTTCTCAAAAACAATAACAGTAGGGCTGGCTGTGGGGTGTCCTCTAAAATCTTGCTTACTGACTTCTCCTAAGAGCACCCAGAAATATCTGCAGAGAGACCAGAGACCTCTAGACCTGCACACCCCTGAGCTCAAACAAACCTCCCTGCCGAGAACCTTGCTCAACAGCTGCTATTACATTTTGGGGGGAAAAAAAAAACAGAAAGTCACCATTTAGCTCACTATCCAGTAAAAACAACAACAACAAATTGTCCCTGAAAGGTTCCCCACAGGGACAAGAATTCTGCTATCAAACTTAGGAAAATAACAAAATTGCTACTGAGATGAAGGAAACTAGAGGCAAGTCATCAGGGAGTCCTTTAGGCAAAATAAACCCCGTCTTTGAGAAGTTGAAGCCTTTAAAAGGAGCTGCCCCATCTTTCTTTCCAAAGGAGGAAGGGGAGGGAATATGAGCAGATTGCTTTCATTGTCTCCCACTCCCCCCACTTCATCTACCAACTCATCTGTAAGGACCAGTCCCTCCCACCTGGCAGGCCTCCCAGGCTCTCCTGAGGGCCGAGCAGGAGGCAGGGTCTGGATGCTCACAACCCTGCCGAGTGCAGGGCAGCCCCCAGGAGTCCCCGTCTCAGATCGCCATGCCACTGGTGCTGCTGAAATGCTTTGAGCACCTGGAAAGTTCCCAAAGGGTGGGGGTTAAGGCACTAAATTCAAAGGTGCCAAGTTGGGAGCTGGATTTTCTGGCAGAGGCTGGAACCAGACGTGTTCTGGGTCACCCAGGGATCCTGGAAGTCTTGGCAACTCCTGCTCTGGTAGACTGCTCTGGTAGACTGCCGTTCTGTGCATCCACTGGCCAACTTTGCACAGCCGGTAGCTGGTTTTCAGGGCTCTCTTCTGTATATGGTCTCTTCCCAGGGGCTGCTGGGTTATAGACTTAATTGTGTCCCCACATTCAACTGTTGAAATCTTAACCCCCGTATCTCAGAATGTGACTGTATTTGGAGATAGACCTTTAAAGAGATGATTAAGATAAATGATTTCACTACGCAAGTGAAAGTGTTAGTTGCTCAGTCATGTCTGACTCTTTTCGACCCCATGGACTGTAGCCCACCAGGCTCCTCTGTCCATGGGATTTCCCAGGCAAGAATACTGGAGTGGGTTGTCACTTCCCAACCTGGGGATAGAACCCATGTCTCATGCATTGGCAGGTGGTTCTTTACTGATGAGCTACCTGGGAAGCCCAATGCAAGTTAACTAGACTTACTGTGGTGGTCATTATGCAATATATACAAATATTATGTTATATACCTTAAACTAATATCTCAATTATATCCTAAATTTAAAAAAATTTAAATCTCTGCCCTAGAATTTATAATATACATTTGAAGTAATCTGAGTCTTTCTTCAAATAATATACTATTTCAGAAGTATTCTAAGGATTTTATAAAAGTATATTTTCAATTTTTCCCTCTCATCTCTGTGCCATTGTTATCATAAATTTAACTTTTACATATACTATAAAAACATATTTCATTGTTATTGTATTTGCTTTGAATAGTTAACCTTTTTTTTTTGCAATACGATCAAATGTTTTTTAAAAACCATATTATAAGAAAAAAGAAATATATGTCAGCAATACTAGGGTCTGGTTTTTTCCTTTTTCCATTATTCCCATTTTCTTTATGAATGGGGTTTTTTTTTGGCGGGGCGGGGGGGTGGGGGCTGTGCTGCTAGTTTCCCAACCAGGGACTGAAGCTGGGCCGTAGTTCTCTCTCTGACTAGACAGTCACAGTGTCTCCCAGTGTCCAGGCCCAACAGCCCACACCTTGAAAGAATGGACGGAGGAACCCCACTGTCCGGCTGCCTCTGGTAATCATAGCGTGAGAAAGGCCCCTTCAGCATGGCGCCTGTGCGCTTCAGGTCCACATTCTCCTCCTCAGCGATGCTGCCCCAGTGGGAGAACTTGATGACGTGGGTCATGCTGGTGATGGGCAAGAATGGGCTGTTGTTCTCAGAACACACTTTGTTTTCTTGTTTTTTTTTTTTCCATTTATTTTTATTAGTTGGAGGCTAATTACTTTACAATATTGTAGTGGTTTTTGTCATACATTGACATGAATCAGCCATGGATTTACATGTATTCCCCATCCCGGTCCCCCCTCCCACCTTCCTCTCCACCCAATCCCTCTGGGTCTTCCCAGTGCACCAGGCCCGAGCACTTGTCTCATGCATCCAACCTGGGCGGGTGATCTGTTTCACCATAGATAATATACATGTTTCGACGCTGTTCTCTTGAAACATCCCACCCTAGCCTTCTCCCACAGAGTCCACAAGTCTGTTCTATACATCTGTGTCTCTTTTTCTGTTTTGCATATAGGGTTATCATCACCATCTTTCTAAATTCCATATATATGTGTTAGTATACTGTAATGGTCTTTATCTTTCTGGCTTACTTCACTCTGTATAATGGGCTCCAGTTTCATCCATCTCATTAGAACTGATTCAAATGAATTCTTTTTAATGGCTGAGTAATATTCCATGGTGTATATGTACCACAGTTTCCTCATCCATTCATCTGCTGATGGGCATCTAGGTTGCTTCCATGTCCTGGCTATTATAAACAGTGCTGCGATGAACATTGGGGTGCACGTGTCTCTTTCAGATCTGGTTTCCTCAGTGTGTATGCCCAGAAGTGGGATTGCTGGGTCATATGGCAGTTCTATTTCCAGCTTTTTCAGAAATCTCCACACTGTCAGAACGCACTTTGAACATGTCCTGACTGTAGGCGGGGACGTCGCGGAAGGGTTCGTAACCCAGGAGGTCCTCGGGTCGCGTGGGGTTCCCCAACTTGGTGCAGCTCTCTACATTCCGGGAGGCGAGCTTCACACGTGTGGTCTGCGTCTTGGTTGGGTAGGGAGAGAAGAAGTAATGGCTCCCCTCAAACACCACGAACTGTTTCTCCGACTGGGGGATCTGGGTGGGTATGGCCGAAGCACGTGGGTATAAACGGCTTCCACGATGACAGACCTTGGCCCCAGGATCAAGAGCCACTGGGAGCTTGACTGTGGAGAATCTCCCGCTTTCACCCTTAATTTTGGTTTCTCTTACTCCCAGATTGTTCTCTTCCTCATCCTCTCCCTTCACCTGCACGCAGAGGTGCGCGAGCCGAGCCTCCAGCTCGGGCTCCAGCGCCAGCAGGAAGGCGGCGGCGCGGGGCGAGGAGCCGCCGCCCGCGTGCGCCAGGGCCACCTCGTTGACCATCCTCGTTGACCAGCGGCGGCGCGTCCGAGGAGGCGCGGCCCGGAGCCGGGGCGCGGGCCGCGAGCGGCAGCTGCAGCGGCGGCAGCAGGCGGGCTGCGGGTGCCTCCATGGCCGGGGCCGAGCTGAGCCGCAGGGCGCGCTTGCCTGCGTGCGCCCGCGTGCGCCCCGCGTGCGCCCCGCGTGCGCCCGCGTGCGCCCGCGTGCGCCCCGCGTTCGCCGCGGCTCTGAATAGTTATCTTTTGGAGCAGATAAAAATAAAGAATTTTACTTAACCTTCATTTATTTATGATACTCTTTTGGCCTTTATCATATTCTTTCTGCCTAAAGAACTTCCTTTAGCAATTATGGAAGGGTAGGTTTGCTGGCAATGAATTCCTCAAATTTTCTGTCTGAGAAAGTTTTGGATTTTCATATCATTCATTTTTTAAGGCTATTTTAACTAGGTATAGAGTTTTGTATTGTGAGATTTTTTTTCTCCCAGAACTTTAAAGATATTAATCCACTGTCTTCTGGCTGGCATGGTTTCCGACAGGAAGTCTGCCGTGATTCTTACCCTTGTCCCATGTATACTTGCTTTTTTGACTGCCTTTAAGATTTTCCCTTTGTCTTTGGTTTGCAGCAGTTTGTGTATGATACACCTAGGTATGTTTGGTTTTGGTATTTATTTTGTTCTTCTCTAATATTCTTGGATGTATGCTTTTGTATCTGTCGTCTATTTTGGACAGTTCTCAGCCTTGTTTTCCCCCGAAGTTATTTCTTCTGTCCGTTTTCTCTTTTTTTCTCCTGTGACTCAATTATGCTTATGTTAGAACTGAATGATCTGTTCTTTTGCTTGTTTTCACTTTTTTCCCCCTTTGGTTTCAACTTAGGTAATATCTATTGAATTCTTCAAGTTCATTCCTTATTCAGTTTAGTAAGTTCTAATGATGAACCCATCAAAAGTGCTCTTCATCTCTGTTACTAAGGGTTTGTGTGTGTGTTTAAAAAAATTAGCATTTCCATTTAAATCTTTCTCATGGTTTCCATTTCTCTACTGAGATTACCTATTCGGTATTGCATGCTATCTACTTTTTCCTTTAGGCCTTTTGAAATATTAATCACAATGAATGTCTGATCTTCAACTTGTTAGTCTGGTTCTCATGATTGCTTCATCTCTTCAGACTATGTTGTCTCTTGCCTTTTTGGGTGTGTGTAATTTTTTATTAGAAATTGGAAATGCTGAATAAGACAATAGATATTAAGGTAAGTGGTTCTTTTTCTTTTTAATATTTGAAGATAGACCTACCTTTCCCTTGCCTCGGACTTTAGTGTGGTGAGTTGTATTAATCTAGTCAGGAAGTGGGCTGATTTTAAGTTTCTATTTGATTTAGCTTCCTTCATTGCACTAGAGGCTTTAAGTCTTCTAGCTATCTATATTTATTGTGTGGGTTACTTTGTCTGTGAGTTTTTCTGATTTTTTGTTCCCCATTTGGTTTTGGGTCTTCCTCTACTACCCAGAGAGAACCTATCTCAAGTATCTCTGCCTACTGTTGCTGTTGTTCAGTAACCAAGTCACGTCCGACTCTGCAACCCCGTGGACCACAGTACAACAGGCTTCCCTGTCCCTCACCTCCCTGCTGTTCAGTTTAGTTCAGTCCCTCAGTCGTGTCCGACTCTTTGTGACCCCATGGACCGCAGCATGCCAGGACTCCCTGTCCATCACCAACTCCTGGAGTTTACCCAAACTCATGTCCATTGAGTCTGTGATGCCATCCAACCATCTCATCCTCCATTGTCCCCTTCTCCTCCTGCCCTCAGTCTTTCCCAGCATCAGGGTCTTTTCCAATGAGTCAGCTCTTTGCATCAGGTGGCCAAACTATTGGAGTTTCAGCTTCAGCATCAGTCCTTCCAATGACACCCAGGAATGATCACCTTTAGGATGGACTGATTGGATCTCTTTGCAGTCCAAGGGACTCTCAAGAGTCTTCTCCAACACCACAGTTCAAAAGCATCAATTCTTCAACACTCAGCTTTCTTTATAGTCCAACTCTCACATCCATACATGACTACTGGAGAAACCATAGCCTTGACTAGACAGACCTTTGTTGACAAAGTGATGTCTCTGGTTTTTAATATGCTGTCTAGGTTGGTCATAACTTTCCTTCCAAGGAGTAAGCATCTTTTGATTTCATGGCTACAGTCACCATCTACAGTGATTTTTATTCTGCCATTATCTTTATTGGATGCTTGCTAGCATGTGTGAGGGAAGAGGGTATATGGCTCTTTCTCTGATATTCTGATTAAGCCTCAGTCTTAGGAAAAACTGTCAACCTGGGTCTCAGAGGTAAAACCTTCACAAGTATTCCTGTCCCTCCTCCATGGGTAGAGGTTTTATTTTTCTGTTCTTCCCTAGCTGAAGCATGTTTCCATTAGTGAACTTAGGGTACAGGTTTTGTCACACTTCCCTCTGCATGTTAAGCTTTTCTTCTCTAGGGAAGATGTGGGATATGAGTCTGCCAAGTGTCTCAATGGCTAATGGTCCCCTCGCTCAGCTAGTAATACAGGAAAGTTTTCTCAGAAATCTCTCCTAATCCTGTCTATTGTCACCTGGTAGAATTCCCAGGAGGAAATCCTGCAACAGAAGCCTCTCTTATATTAGCCTCCTCTTGGCTGTTAGCAATTTGTTAGAAATTTCTAGCTGAACCATCATATTGACCTATACAGTGTTCAGTAGCTTCTGTTCTAGATAAACAAATGCTTGGGTCCTGTTTCTCCCAGCAAACATCTGTCTCCAGATTTCAGGTAAATTGTTTGTCTTGCAACCTCAGTTCTCTAGTGGCTCCAAGATAAGTCATTAATTTGTAGTCTACTGTGGTATTTGCTTATTGTGAATGCAGTAACAACTCTATTTCAAGCTGTCTACATCTCTGAGCTGAAACTGGAAGCCTACTTTGGCATTTTAATTAACACAATACCCTGGGAAGAAAACAAACAAATCTGATTTGTTTTTCCTGTTGCTTTCATGAATCAAAAGCCAGAAACTGGCGGGGGAGGGGGGAGTTCTGTCAGAGTAAAAGTACCTCCAGGGCTTCCCTGCTGGCTGAGTGGTAAAGAATCCTCCTGCCAATGCAGGTTCAGTCCCTAGATCAGGAAGATACCCTGGAGAAGGAAAGGGCAACCCACTCCAGTATTCTTGCCTGGGAAATCCCACGGACAGAAGAGCCTGGCCAGCAACAGTCCATGGGGTCACAAAGAGTCAGACACGACTTACTCACTAAACAACACAACAAAGGCACCTCACATAGAGGTAATGCCTCTGAGATTGTTGCTTTTCCATCTATAGCTTCATTGTGACTTCAGATCTGGTGCAGTGAACTGTTTTATCCCAGTGAACAAGTGTCAGTCTGTAAGTTGTGAATGCTGGAGGCTCTTCAGCTACTTGTAAACACTGCTATCCTGTGTCCTTAGTCTTCTGGGCTCTAACAGTATTTATGGCTTGGTTGCTGGGCAGTAGTGTCTTATTTACAATCCCTATTTTCTGTAATTTCTCTCACTTGTACTTCCTTTGATTTAAAAAGACTTTTTATAACATTGTGATGAGGAATGAATCAAAACCTGATTTTCTAAAGACCTTCTGGAAAACTGGGCTTTTTGTTGGGAAAAAAAATAAGCAAACAGCCAACCAGACTCCTGTTTCTATATCTTCTCCTGGCTTCCACGGTAAGTAATCCATTTTCAAGGTCACATGCATTGTGATTAGAGACAAAGTAATTTAGGGGTAAAAAGAACATTTTTGCTGTTTCTTTTCCCATTAACAAGACACCATTCCTCTTGGTCATCCCTTTGCTTATACTCCTCCCCATCCTTGCCCAACTACTCTAAGTTTCAATGCGACTTACAATACCCTTGTTATAATGTTTGCATTCACTTTGTAAATTAATTATATCTTTGGTGAGCCACGAGAAGTTGAGTCTAAAAATTGCATTTATAACATTTTAACTGTGTATTAATCAATGTCAATCACTATATAACCAAGTAGTATGATTGGAGAAATAAATATAATCCTCTGGGACTAAATCCATCTCCAAAATGTTCCCAGCATCAAAGCCATGTGAATTTTTTTTTTTTTGGCTATACTCCAACAAATACTCAAAATCCTACTGTTATTTAGTTTGCAGTCTTATCCTGAAAATCCTATCATTAATCTTCAAGAAGTCTTGTTCCCTGCTCCTTTTTCATATTAACCTATTCTAGTTTCATGGGGAAAATGTCACAAGAGTTCCAAGATTTATATTTCTTTCTTTTTTAAATTAATTTTTATCAAAGTATAATTGATGTACAATATTATATAAACTATACTTCAGTAAAAAATTAATTAAAAAAAGAAAGAAAGAAATATAAGTCTCAGAACTCTGTGTGACATTTTCCCCATGAAACTGTAACAGGTATACAGTATAATGATTCACAATTTTTAAAGGTTATACTTGATAATATAAAATTTATATTTTAAAGGCAAGACAAGAAAAAAATTTAACATTGAATTCTCTCCCCACAATGTGCAGAGTGTATCTGCATTATATGTTAATCAGAGCTCCCCAAAGATGGGCGTGCCTGTTCAACCATAAAGACAAGTTTTTGTTTTCTTTCTTCTGAGGCTAGAAATGTAACTTCTTAAAACGGCCTTATTTCCCAACTCTGTAGGGGTTCATGGTGACTTGCTACTCACTTAATATGTGTTTACCTGGATTATGTATTGTCCGTGACCTTTATGTAAAATATCAGTATGTCATACTGATATACAACTAAGCCTTTGACTTCTAACAGGCAGGAACAGTGCTCAGGACTGTCTGAGAATCTGCTTTCCAGATTGTAATCCTCAGTTTGGCTCAAATTGAATTCTCTTTTTTCTTCTTAACTTGATAGTAATTGAATTTTCATTGACATAATTTATGTGCATGCGTGCTATATCGCTTCTGTTGTGTCTGACTCTTTTATGACCCTATGGACCGTAGCTCACCAGGCTCCTCTGTCCATGGGATTCTCCAGGCAAGAATACTAGAATGGGTTTCCATGCCCTCCTCCAGGGGATCTTTCCAACCCAGGGGTCGAACCCACATCTCTTACATCTCCTGCATTGGCAGATAGGTTCTTTACCACTAATGGTACCTGGGAAGCCCATATTCTATTTATGGTGGTGGTTTAATCACTCAGTCGTATCCAACTCTTGCTTCCCCAGGACTGTAGCCCACCCACCAGG